CGCGTCCGTGACCGCCCCCGTGGTCATCCTGCCGGCGGTGCTGCTGCTGTTGTGAGCGCTGGTGGTACTCCCGCCAGCTGGGGGTTCTTCCACACGGGGAGCCTGCAGGGCCGAGGCACGGCTCCCAGGAGCTGCAGTCTGTTAACCAGTTCGTTCGAAACTCACTTACGGGCCAGCCAGATGGCGTAGTGGTTAGGGGGCCGGATTTCACATGGCCGAGCATGGGATCAGGTCCCAGACCTGGCAGTTTGGGAAATATAACAGTGTGTGTGCATGAGTACCCAAAATCCCGAGAGGGGAATGGAGGAGAAGGGGTCACAGTGTGGCCATCCCCCTGGGGGGTGATTGCTCCTTATTCCTCTCTGTCTCTCTCTCTCTGGTGAGCATCAGTGCCCTTTAGCAGAAGAAAATGGAGGGGAGAGGAGAGGGGAGAGGAGGAGAAGAGAGGAAGGAAGGAGAGAGGAGGGGAGGGGAGGTAGGAGAAGACTATCTATGGAGCCTGAGGACCTAAGCAGACACATTGAGTCACACACCAGTGTCACATAAGCCACCATGCCCTAGGGACACAATCGTTGGTCTCCCCGAGTCTGGGGGAAGGAGTCTTTCACCAACGGTTTTGATTTGCCAGCATTGGGGAGGGCCATCACCGTGGCTGCTGTCATGGTGCAGCATGTCATTATCCCAGCTTGGAAAGGAGTTTCACAGTTCAGCTGAGTAGCTCTGGTTCACTTGGCTTAAAGGGAGCATGGAAGTGAGGGGACCCAGCACCGGCCGTATGCCCTCCCGGTTGCAGAGCCACAGGCCAGTAGGGGTTGGCTGGAAGCAAAAGAAAGAAAGCGAAAGCCCCTCGCAGTCCTCCCTGGCTTGAGACCTGGCTGACAAGCCGCCATGCCCTGGGTGGAGGGGTCAGTAGCAGAATGCGTCCAGCCTGGGAACCTCGGTCCCTGCTGACCGCCCGAGCAGGGGGCCCTGGCGTGGGGGGTGCGAGCGGGTCGTCACGCACTCACGTCCTGTGCTTTGTGTCATCCTGTCCCAGCATGCTCATCTACTACCTGCAGAGCATCGCGCGGTCCTTGAAGCTCAGCAACCACCAGCTCAAGATGCAGATCCAAAACGCAAGTATCAGTCCGCTGTGCCGTGGGAGGGTGTATCAGCCCCGGCCCCACACACACGAGGGGGCCTCTTCGGTACTGTGACTCTTACCTCCCGCCCCGCCCCGCCCGGGCCAGGATCCCTGAGCTTTTCTGAGGCTACCCAAAGAGGGCTCACGCTTTCCAGGAACAGGCCCACGAGCACTTTCCTCCTCTCCAAGGGCCTTCCTGGGACCTTGGGCACTTCTTTTTGTGGCCACTACTAGCCCTCAGGGGGCTGGGCACTTCTATAGGCTCTGGGAGAGTGGCAGGGAGGAGAAAGGGTCCCTTCCTGATCCCGTGCCAACCTGGACAACTGAGCCCAGCAACAAAGACTGGTCTCATTCAAGTCCTTTAGATGGTAGCTGTGACCTTCTCTCCCATCTGGGGCTCCAGCCTGGGGAGACGAACACTCCCCAGACCTCCCCTAGTTTCTCCTCCTCGGCACACCCAGGGACTTCCCAGAGCCAGGGCTGCAGTGAGGCCAGTGAGGCTCCCAGGGCACCCACTGTAAGGAGCCCCTCTCGGGGTCAGGCCAGTGCTGCACTGTCACAGCCTGAGGGTGAGTGTCTCCCTCAGTACTGCAGCCTGAATGCCCGCTGGCCTCACCCCTGTCCAGGGCCCCTTGGGAAAAACTCCTTCCACCTTCTTCAGTTACAAAGAAGAAAAAAAAAAAAACAATAGAAATAAAAGAAATATGCCCTAAGAATATCAATCCATGCAAAGAAACACAGGCTGATTCTGGAAAAAGGCCAAATTAGAAAGACAGCTGGAGGCCAGTCTCTGGCCTAGTGGTTAAGGGAGCAGGGAGCCAGATTGTGCATGGCCGACCCTGGGGTCCCAGTCCCAGCCCAGGAAGCTTGAAAAACCCACTGAGCATGTATGCGTGTGTGCCCCAAATCCTGATGGGATGGGAAGATGGTGGACAAGGCCCTGGGAAGCGAGTAGCCTCCGTGGGAAGTGCTTTTCCCCTCCCCTTCTCTCTCTCCCTCTCTCTGAGGAGTGCGGGCACTCTGGCAAGGACGGGAGAGAAGGAAATGCATTTGGAGTTGCAAGGGGCATTGTAGAAACATGTCTCTACAGTTGTCAAGCTACATTTTCTTTGTGACTCGGGCAAACTATCGCGTCATTGGAAAAGTCATGACATATTTTTCTGCTTTTCTATGCAAAAATGCGTCATAACTTTTCTGGTGACCCAATTTTTTTTTTTAAGAGAGATTTTTGCTGTAGGATGCATGTGCTCACCAGAGAGACAGAGACAGAGAGATAGAAAGTAAGAAATCCCCCTCCCAGGGGGGATGTCCACACCGTAATCCCTTCTCCTCCATTCTCCTCCTGGGATTTTGAACGTGCACACACACACATCCAGCGTGAGTTTTAAGCCACCAGGTCCCGGACTCAAACCACAATCAACGAAGTGGGAGTCCAGCGAGGTAACCATTATGCCACCCGCTGCCCCCCCCCCATGACTCAGTATTACGCTGAATCTACAAGACCTGCCAATCGTGCACCTGCATTTATTTACCCAGATAACAGGCCCAAGCCCTGAGCGATGTCCCCAGTTGGTGACAGGAGTTCAGTGATGCCTTAGCAAGAGCACATCAATCTTTGTTTCTCCCCAAGAAGAATAATATCTGTTACCATTTCCTGCTAAATCAAAAACAAATGCACGATTATTATTTATATTTTAGGCAAGATCTGAAGATAAGAAAAAAGTTGCCCAAATGGTAGAAGGTATGTATTTGAAACAGAGATCTGATGTCTTGGATCACTGGGCATTTGAAAACACAGCTGGTTTGGGCTGGCCTCAGCCTAGGGGTTAAGGGAACTGGGGCCTACAGAGCCATCCAGTTTTAATCCTGGCTGCCATGGCTTGAAAAACATTCTGGGCATATGCGTGCATGTGTATTACCCCAACAGGACGGCGAAATGGAAGAGGAGGGATCAGAGTGCAACAATGCCCTGGGGTGTGTGCGTGTGTGCGTGTGTGTGTGTGTGTGTGTGTGTGTGTGTATGCATGCTTCCTCCCTCCCTCTGTCTCTGTCTCTCTCTGGGGAGTGCATGTGTCCCTCTAGCAATTAAACATGTGTTAGTCTTCCCACCCCAGGAAAAGGCCTGCCCAGGGGTCATGAGCCCCATGGGTTGTGCTGCTCCATCCAGCTTTTCAGAGAGAAGCTGATAAAGAAAGTGACGAGCCACAGCGACTGTGGCTCATGCTATAAAAACCACAGTAACCGTCCAGGGTTACGTGCCAATTCCGTGTCATTACATTGGCTTCAGGTCACCTTCAAAAGCCAGGATGGGGGCCAGCTGGTGGCATGGTGGTTAAGGTGACTGGACCCTACCGTGCCGAATGAGCAGTCCCAGACTCTATGGCTCGACAGGCACTCTGGGTGCATGTGTGCACATGCTCAGAGTCCCGAAAAGAAGGAGAGTTGGAGGAGACAGGATTGTGACTTGAACGTGTCCCGTGGAGGGTGCTTTCTCACTTTCCTTCTCTCTGTCTCTGTCTCCTACCAGCGAGTGCATGTGCCCTCTAGCAAATGTTTAGAAACAGAAAGGAAAGCCAGGCTCTACATAGACTTTCTCAGGATAACAGTAGCATTATTCCATGTTCATTGTGCAGTTGAAAACCACGTGGTCTTCCAGAATGCCATGCGAATCACTTCTACAAACCTAAATTGCTATATAGACGTCGTTAGGCCCGTTGTATAGGTAAAGAACCGGAGCCCCAGGGGTGTTACATAACGGAGAGAGTGCTGTTGGGGTTCGCAATTCCTCTGACACACCTTGATCCGGCTTTCTGTGAGAGAGCGATTCGCATTGCAGGTCTGCTGCCCGTAGTAGGTTAGACGTCATAGACCCAACTGCTGCACGTCAGGAAACTTACAGCTAAGCCATCTGGCATGTGTCATCTGCTCAGAAGAAGTCTTCTCACGAGTCCTCCCTCTGCCTGCAGCCCGAATCCAGACCCAAGAGGAGAACTCCAAGAGGCTCCCAAAAGACAGTGATCTCGCCAGCCAGCTGTCCTCAGCACTCTCGGTGACACCCCAAAACAACGGCAACGCAGTCGGTGTCAGCTCACCGTGCGGCAAGAACAGCACAGTAGAGACAGTCACGCGATCTGTGTCCCAGAGTCCCAAGCTGGGGCACAGTGGTCCCAGCTCACCTCTTCCTGGTGTCTCCAAATCCAGGCCAGAGCCCGCCACTAACAGGTAAGGCTTAATTGCAACACAGAAGAAAGCAAACTGAGGCCTGCCATGTCCTAGAACCCTTACAGGGATTTGAAGACCTCAGTGGTTTGAGGCCAGGGCTCTTAAATTCCAGTTTTGCCAGAAGGCCGTGGGAGTCAAGGGACCACAGTAGCTGATCTGAAAGGGAAAAAAGGTGGCGTGTGTGCAGGTGGGGACAAGGTCTGTCAACAGGACAGCTTCCTCCTGTGCCATCTGCCATCTCACCTGGAAACAAGCATCCTGCCCACCTAGGAAATACGTTTCCACAGCCTGAGAATGGTGAATGATTTCTGAATTGTTTATTTAAGCTTCAGACTGGCCATATTTCTGTCCAGATCTTCTGTATTTTAGATCCAGACTGGTCAAGTTCCTAGCAAGGTCTTCCAGGCATTAAATGGTATCAAGTGTCTCAGTCTTCCATAACAGCCATCAGTAAAAGCCCGCTTCCTAAAGTGGAAGCCGGAAGACGGAAGGGAATTGGCCTGTGCTGACCCAGATTCACCCGGAGAATGAAATTTGATCAGAATGTAACAAGTGAAAGGCATATTTATACAAATAAATTGGGACCAACAGATGGTGTAATGGTTCCACGTAACCAACCATGGTTCAAGTCCTGAACCCAGTTGCTTAAAACTCACACCAGGTGTGTGTGCCCGCCCAAGATCCCAAGAGGAGAGTGGAGGAGAAGGGATTGTGGTGTGGCCATCCGCCGTAGGAGGTGATTTCTTGCTTTCTGTCTCTCTCACTCTCCACTGAGTACATATGCCCTATATCAAAAATCTCTTAAACAGTAGCAGTGGATGGGGTAGTGGTTACATCACTGAACTCCCACGTAGTCAACTATGTTTGAGTCCCAGATCCGGTGGCTTGAAACTCACACCGGGTGTATGTGGGCCCAAAGTACCAAGAGAAGATTGGAGGAAAAGGGATTGTGATGTGGCCATCCCCCCCGGGGATGATTTCTCTCTTTCTGCCTCTCTGTCTCTCTAGCAAGTGCATGCACCCTGAGCAAAAATCTCTCTCTCAAAAAAAAAATATATATATACATTTATATGTGTGTGTGTGTGTGTGTATACATACATACATATATAGAAGGAGTTTTGCTTTAATGGATTTTTTAAAAAAGAGACAGTGACTACGTTAACAAAAGATGTGAATCTTGCTATAATATGTGAGGAGTTATCTTTAGGTCTCTATGGGGTTTGAACAAAGAGGAGAGTTATAAACCCTCCTGGGGAAGGCCACTGGGGCTCAAACCCAAACCCCGGACATAGTCAAGTCTTTTTTTTTTTTTAATTTATTTTCCCCATAGGGCATGTGTGTTCACCAGAGAGACAGTGAGAGGGGAAGTGAGAAATCACCCCTGGGGGAATAGCCACGCCGCAATCCCTTCTCTTCCATTTTCCTCCTGGGATTTTGAGTTTCAAGCCAAATCCAGGACGCGGGAGTCCAGCACTTTAACCAGTATGCCACCTGCTGGCCCCAGATTCAAGTCTTTGTGGGGAAGAACCTTCTAAGAAGTCTAACCCACCCAGAGCAGTCAAGGAAGGGCCTGAGAACTGGACAGCTGCTTTACAGAGACACGAGGGGGCAGCGTCCCTCCATGTGCCCCACAGACACTGGTCCCTCCACATGCCCCTTGGCAAAAAGAGGATGTCACGATAAAATATAAGGGAGTTCCGAAAGTTCACGGCTGTGTGATGTTTAGTGTCATAGTGTGTATGTCTGCCTCCTTCATTTGATTATCCCACACTGCTTTGAAACATCAAACTGTACCCCCACAAAGATGTACAGCAGTGATCTTAAACCAGAAAACTCACCATAAAAATAAATAGTGAAAGAAGTAAAATGACAGGGGCCAGCAGGTGGCATCGTGGTTAAGGTGCTGGACTTTCATGTAGCCGACTGCGGTTCAAGTCCTGGACCTGGTGGCTGAAAATTCTCGCCACATACATTTGTGTATGTCCGTGCCCAAAATTCTGAGAGGAGAAGGGATTGTGGCATGGCTATCCACCTCTAGGGGGGTGATTTCTTACTTTCTGTCTCTGTCTCTCCCCCAAGCTCATGCACCCTGTAGCAAAAAAGTCTCTCTTAAAAAAGTAATATTGCCAAAAGCCTATGGAAAAATAGAACTGAAGTATGAGTTGATTTTCGTGCTCCAAAATTTGAAATCCACATAGCATTTTAATGATATCCACATTCCATAAACTCGTTGCAGGTTCTCTGTATATTAGCAAAACACCCCTTGCCCTGCCCGCTCCATGGAAACACAGCCTTGTATTAAGGGTTCCGAGAATTCCAGCCGCTAAGAAACACGTTTATCCGAGTTCTCCAGAAGTTTCCGGGCACAGGGTGCACAGAATAGCCAGTATCAGGTCCGATCCAGTATGTTCCGGAAAGATAGCGAGGGAGCGGTTGTCCTAGCTCACGGGCTCAGAGGGCTCTGAGACCACCCAGGCCGTGGTGACTCACCCACTTGTGTGTCACAGGTATCCACGGGGGCCACGTGCAAGCCCAGGGGACTTTCACAAGAACAGATCCTGCACACCTGCCACGTTTACAAAGCGCATCGAAGATGTTCACTCAGAATCTCTTTTCCGGAAAGAATTTCAGCCCGTCAGCCCTTCTTCTCGTCATGGACCCGAGACCTCGGCCCGGGTGGCACGTGGCCACAGGTCCCATGCTCCCCGATACTATATCGTTAACGAGCGTGACCCTCACCCAGAACCACATCCAACTCTCTGGCCAGAAAGACACTTCAAGATCGACACCGTGGGTGACACTGTGGAGATGTACCCCGAGAGCATGCAGCCGTATGTGTCCCGGGTGCCCCTCCAGCCTCACTCTCCGCAGCTGAGCGAAGACGAGGAGGCGATACCGAGGGGCGGCTTGATCCAGTGGCCTTTCCTTCCGCACCCCCTCACAGACCTCCAGCGGGCCCCTCATTTTTACGTCGGAGAAAGACTGGACAGTCGGACGCTGGTTCCTGAGCACCAGGAGCGGATGCGCCGTAGACCTTGGGATGATGTCTTCGAGGGCCCACCTGGCAGGCCCACGTTTGTCCACAAAAAGCCACGCTCCCAGCACTGCTGGTCCCCGCAGCCCCCGCTGAAGCCCAGGGCCAAGCCCAGGTTCGAGCCGTCCTTCACAGAATCGGATTCTGTGTCGGCGGCGTCCAGCAGTGACCAGCAGACCAGCAGCGCCGACCAGTACCTGCAGGTCACCCACAGCCAGGTTAAGTGCCCCAGGGCCGACGGCCGACTCGGCAGGAGGAAGGCCAGGCCCAGGCAGGAGCTGATGGCGGACTTGAGCGACCTGATTTGTTCAGATGTCTAGGCTCCCGCTGATGTCTCGTCTGTAGAGCTCAGACCCCTGTTGGCGTTCTGGACCACTGCCCGTGTCCCCATCCAGAAACAGAGAAGAATGTGGCTAGTGGGGTCAGACACCTACGGGACTTATCTGGGCACGTCTGCCAGCTGCCGGCCGATGTCTTCAGACTCACAAAGCTCCAAGTGCTTACTCTGTGGCAGCCACTTGCACGTGGGGCACTTCTGCAGGTCCTGTCGTGTCCAGCGCACAGCGGCACGTGCAGCCTTATTTATTTATTTCATTCCATTTGTTACTATTTTTTAATTTGACCAAAGCAAGACAGAGAGAAAGGGAAAGCGAGAAAGCAAACCACCACGACTGGGACTCGAACCGCAGTTGGCCACGTGGGAACCCAGCGCCTTTAACCACCATGCCGTTTTAAGGAAACTTCAGCTATCCATGGCCTCGGTTAGGGGCGATGGCAAATAGAGGCAAGGCAGACATGGCATCCCGCCCGCGGGAGCCTCAGCTGGGATGTCAGCGCTTGCCGTTCGAGTGAGGGCGTTTGCCCTGTGACGCGCTCTCTCAGCGTCCCGATATTAGCCCTCCCTCACGGAGCACCTGCAAACGAGGAGGCCGGCCTTACAGATCTGAGCATTTCATTCCTGGGAGTAATCAGCTTAGTGATGTCAAGTGGACCTAAGAGTACTGAGAACTTAGCTTACCCTGTTTACTAGGCTATAGTAATTAATAGATATCTATATTCGTTAGTTGGGGTATTTAGATTGGAAATAATCCGAGATTTGTTCCTAAGCATTATCGGTGTGTGTAACAGAAGGATGGGAATCAAGCTGGTTGGAGACCGGGTCTCAGACGTCTTCCGGAATGTTTGTCTTTTCACCGCTCCTCTTTATCTTTCTCTCTCTCGAGAGAGAGAGAGAGAGAGATTTTTTTAATAGGGCATGTATGCTCACCGAAGCAAGAGAGAGGCAGAGAGAGAGAGAGAGAGAGACAAACCACCCTGCAGGTGGATGACCACACCACAATCCCTTCTCCATTCTCTTCTTGGGATTTTGGTCACGCATACACATGCGCCTGGCCTGAGTTTTGTCTCCGGATCTGGGACTCAAACCGCAGTCGGCCATGTGGGAGTCCAGCACCTTAACCACTAACCACCTGCTGGCCCCTCTCAACTCTGTCCCTGTGTTTGTTGACCTCATTTTCTCCAGCTGCCAATAGGCATCCTCCTTGCGGTAGGTGAAGCCACTAACCACCTGCTGTCCCTGTGTTTGTTGACCTCATTTTCTCCAGCTGCCAATAGGCATCCTCCTTGCGGTAGGTGAGGAGGAATTCACCAGCCACAGGAAGGGCCAGGTTTACACCATCCCGCGAGGTAGCCCAGAGGAAAGGACAGAGCTGCCCTCCCCGGGGGGTCTTCCCCTTCTTGAGTCCGTACCTACCTCTACTGTTTACTTTTGTTTTTCCCCCCGTCCTTTTACTGGCGCTCCCTCACCAGTAGTGCACCGGATCCATATTCCCACGATAACACTTCCCACTCTTCACCTGCATCCTTTTAACGTTTCTTTCTCTCCCACCAGACTGAGTGCCCCTGGAGCGAGGATGGGGTCTTACTCATTTCCGTATCTCCGGGAGCAGACATGTCATAGATGTTGCATTGGTTTTCTCTCACTGCCTAACAAATTAGTGACTTAGAGCAACACACGTTTGTCATCACAGCTTCTGTGGGTCGGCAGTCCAGGCACGGCCAGGCTGGGTTTTCCGCAGAGGGTCTCAGCGGGCTGTCCTGAAGGGAAAGTCCAGAGCTGGCATCTCACCTGAGTTTGAGGCCCTAAGTCGGCAGAATCCATTTCCTTGAGGTTCCAGGACTGAGACCTTCAGCTGCTAGAAGCTGCCTACGTTTTCCTGCCACATGGTGACAATTTGCGTCTTCAAAGCCAGCAAGGGAGTGTCTCAGATCTCTTCCAAGGGAAGGCACGGCCCCCTTTTAGAAAGAGCTTACCCGATCAGGCCAGGCCCACCCAGATCCTCTCCCTTTTGATTATCTCCAAGTGAACAGATTGGGGACCTCGATTACATCTTCAAGATGGCTTCATCTTGGGGCCAGCAGGTGGTGTGGTAGTTGAGATGCTGGAATCCACATGGCCAGCTCTGTGGTTTGAGTTCCAGGCCCGGCAGCTTGAAAAAGACACCAGGCACATGTGTGTGCATGTCCAACATCTGGAGAGGAGAACGGAGGAAAAGGGATTATAGCGTGGCCACCACCCTGGGGGTGATCTGTCCTTCGTCCCTTTTCTCTTTTTCTCTCTGGCGACCATATGTGCCCTATTGTAAAGAAGTATAAAGAAAAAAAAATGTACACATGGATTAAATAGCCCTCCCCAAATTCACGAAAAGGAGGACACATATTTTCAACGTCTCTCACGACAGATCCAGGAGGTTGCTGTCTACTCACAGTGACATGTCCGCAAAGCCACGGGACTCGGCTTTAGCCACAGAGGCGCTCACAGGAGTTCCAGGATGAGGGCCCCTTTCCAGGTACTGGGTCCGGGCTACAGCCCAGGGCACCGTGGGGTGATGAAACACATTTGGAAAAGCCTGGCCCTCCCCCCAGGCACCTGCAGGAATACCTGTGTCCATGTGGGAGTGGGGAGGCGTGCTCCATGAGGACAAGAAGATGGCAGGGTCTCGAACGTGCCTAAGAAAACTGGAGTAGGGCCAACACACCCGGGCTGAGAACACGAACAGCGTCTTTCTCTCCCCCTCACCCCAAACATTTATTTAACTATTTATTTATTGAGATTTTCAAGCTGCTGGGTCTGGGACTCCAACCGCAGTGGGCCATGCAGGAATCCGGCTCCTTCTCACCACCTTTCAACACACATCACAGCTTGCATGCCTGTGGCACTTCTGCACTGCGTCTTCTGTGTGTGTGTGTGTGTGAGAAAATTTTGGTACAGGGCATGTGCACTTGCGAGAGATACAAAGTGAGAAATCACCCCCTTAGGGGGATGGCCATGCCACAGTCCCTTCTCCTTCATTCTCCTTTTGGAATCTTGGGCATGCACACACGTGCACCTGGTGTGAGTTTTAAACCGCCAGGTCCAGGACTCGAACCACGGTCGACTACGTGGGAGTCCAGCGACAGAAACTTTATGCCATCTGCTGATCCCTGTGTCTTCAATTTAGAAAAATTTAAAAGACATAGAGTAAGTGCAGAGGCTAGTAAGCCAAGCTCCCACTGTGAGAGTCAACAACTCTGAATTTTTATTTTTATCTGCCATTTTGAAATTTTGAATAATAACGGGCCAGGTGAGGGCACAGCAGCAACACCCCTGGCCCCATCTAGCCAAGGTCCTGTGTTTGGGTCTCAGGACTTCCTGAACACATGTGATGTGTGATCCTGGCTGGCTGGGGGTAGATCAGGCAGGAAGACCCTGTCGGGAATGTCTGTCTCTCTGTGTCTCAGTCTCGGAAAAATAGTAATTTTAAAATGACAGATATACGCAGTAAATCCACCTTGCACCCCTTGCAATGTGAGTTTGTGCATATCCACTTGATATGTTGACAGTCATGTACGCTGCACGTCTGTGTGTGTGTGACTATATATAACCATCCACAATGCACCAGTGGGTTTTTCTTGGGACATTAAATTGCATGTATCGTTCTATGTGTTTTATGTTTTTGAGATCTACCAAAGAAATACATTGTTCAAACTCGTAGCTCGGCACAGAATTCCATCATATTAATAAACGGTAAAGATCCATTTTCTTATTGATGGATGATAAATCATTTCCACTTCTTTGCTACTAGAAAACAGCGTTGCACTAAACATCTCTTATGTCTCCTGCTGCACAGCTGTCAGTGTTTACTTAGGGGACATTGGTCCTCGTAAAAGAGAAATTGCTAGGTCACGGATGAGCGTGTTCTTAACTGTTTTACCAACTGCTCTTTATTTATTTATTTTTTAGAGGTTTTCGCCACAGGGTATGCGCGCTTGCCAGACAGAGAGGCTGTGAGAGATCACCCCGTGGGGGGGAAGATGGCCACGCCGCAATCCCTTCTCTGCTGTCCTCTCAGGAGTTTGGACATGCACGCACATGCGCCTGGTGTGATTGTCACGCCAGCAGGTCTGGTACTGTAACCACGGTCAGCCCTCTGGGAGTCCAGCGCTTAACCGTTATGCCCTGGCTGGCCCTCCTGCCTCAGCCTCCTGGGTAGGTGGGTGCCACCACGCTGAGCTCTCCCAGGCAGAGTCTCCCTCAGTTGCCCAGGCCAGCCTCAAGCTAGCTACTCTCCTGCCTCAGCTTCCCCAGGTCCTGAGATGACAGGCCATGCAGTCTTTAGATTGCACCGGGAATCAAACCCGGACCTCCCATGTGGTCCCCACCTATGGAGGACAGTGTTTATCAGCATGTGCCACCACAGCTAGGCCTAGTTTCTCTTTCATTATTAGACTTCACGAGTCCACCCTCTTTGCCTTTCCTTCACAGTGGATAAGATGGCGAAAAATACCCAATTATTTAATCAGTTTGGGTTTTTGATTGTTAACATCTTTCCCAAAGTTGACTGGTCATTTGCATTTTTTCTTAATTTTTAAGTTTTTGCTATCAGGTGCTTGCCTTTGCCAGAAAGAGACAGAGATAGTGAGAGGCAAAGTGAGAAATCACCCCCTACACCCTCCCAGGGGAGGAGGGCCATATTGCAATCCCTTTCCCTCCAGTCTCCTCTCAGGATTTGGGGCACACACACACACACACACACACACACACACACGGTATGTTTTTGAAGCCTCTGGGTCTGGGACTCGCGCCTCACAGCCAGCCATGTGGGATCCAGTGCCTTGACCTCCATGCCACCTGCTGACCCGGCATTTTCTTTCCCATGAACCGATTGCCTGTTGGACACCTTCGCTCACGTTTCTGTTGGTAGCAGCCATCCGTCATGCTGTGACAGGATCAAAGTCCTGAGAAGCACCACCGGCCGCTTAGGGGTGCTCCTCCATTACCTGGACTCTTCTAAGATGGAGCCGCAGAAAGGGACAAACCTACGCTGTCTGAATGCCTTTGCCTAACTCTGGCTTCACAGCCTGGCTTTGACTTTTATTACTGGTCCATTCTATAGGGAGAAGACTTGGGTCAGACTGTTACTGAGGACGTGGTCGTCAGTATTACTACAAACCTCTCCTAAAAGCATCTACGGTAATAAACGCTTCTTAAGTCTCACACCTCAGAGGAATTGAATCCATTCGATATAAACAGTGAATTCCTCTTCGAACAGTCTGGTAAACACCTTAGGAACTTTAGAATGGTTCCTCTGGTGCCTCCTAAGGTTTTGTAATTCATGAATGAAAATTTAGAGAAAGGCTTTTCTGTTCCTCTCCAAAGAATGATTTAGTTTTATTAATTATTATTTTCTAATTTGCTATAGGGCCTGTGCACTTGAGAGAGCTGCCTGGTCTAGGACTTGAACCACAGTGAACCACGTGAGTCCAGCATATTAAGCACCATGCCACCTGCTGGCCTCCCGGTCCTCTCTAAAAGACTAACTCGCTAGCTCCGGTAGTATTTTCCAGCTACTCTGTGTGCACATGTGTGTGTGTCTGTGTGTGCTTCCCGATTAGTTTGCAGGTGGTCATTTTTTTTTAATCTTTGGGCAGTGCATGGTAAATATGGTGGTGCTTCAGGAAGTGGGAGACGTGGGAACAAGCTGGGTGTTGGCCACTGTCCTGTCCCTTCGTAGCTACGTACCCTAGGATACTCTTGTGACCTTCATTTTCCTACGCTGCAAACTGGGATAGTTGTCTCTACCTCCTTGCGCTGTGGTGTTGCAAGAGTTAAATGGCGAGCTACAGGTGAAGTCTTCTGAGACCAGCACCTGCTGGTGCTGAGTAACATGGGTGTGGCTGAGAGGACAATAAATATATATAAAGCTTAGGTAGGCGAGTTTGCATAGCACCTGCCTAAGCCAACGCGGTAAATAGTTTGCAATTCTTCAGGGTCCAGTGGAAAGTAGATACTCCATTTAGGGGCGTGGGGTTCTAGTGTCTATGGTCTTGTGGTGGTTTGGGTTATAAGCTGCCTCTACCTATTGAAAATTCAACTGGGACTTCAGTGAAGGTGCTGCGACTCCGAGCCTGAGAACCTGTGGGCGCCGCTCTGATCCAGGGAATCCACAGGCTCCTAACTGGCCTCCCAGCCTAGGCTCTGAGCGCCTCTTTGTGCAGCAGCCGCCATGGAAGGTCATCTCTGATCCATATTGTCCTGCTGGCGGAAAGGACCAGGGCTCGCAGGACAAAACGTCGCGCTCCTTAAGCCTAAGGCGTTGTCATGACCTGACCGAGCTCGCTGGTTCTCTATCCATGGCCCTCTCTGGTCATGGCGCTCCAGGACTGCACCCAGAGCGGGGCAGGAGCGAGTAGGTTATGGCGCAACCGCGCTTGGGACCAACCCAGATGGAGTCAGGACCTGCAGATCCTAACCCTGCCGGTCCTGCCAATCCCGAGACGGGGCGGGATCCGTCTGAGGACCTGGGCCAATCAAGGGTTGGAGGTGGGGCCATAGGAGAGGCGGGGGGCCAGGGCGGTTTTCCGGCCTCCCATCTGCAGCGGACTCAGACGCCGCGGCTTGCACTTCTCGGGACCCCCCGGGATCCACGTTCAGTCCCCGGAGCCATGGACCCGACTTTGGCCGCGCAGATGAGCGAGGAGGTGGCCGAGAAGATGCTCCAGTACCGGCGAGACTCGTCAAGCTGGAAGATTTGCCGAGAAGGCGTGAGTGAGGCGCTGGGCGGGCAGGGGTCCTGGAGACTGCGTTCCTTGGGGTCGGAGTCCCTGAACCCCGCCAGGCTCCGGCCGGCTGTTTTCCACACCCGGGGCCAGCGGAGCTGGATTGAGAGGGATTCTACTGGTGGTTATTTGCTTTTAAAAATGTGAGCTTTGGTGCACTTAAACAATCACCCAAGGAGGTCTCTGTTTTTCATTGAGTGACTTAACCAAGGTCACCTGGCTGGAAAATGGTGGTTAGGGCTGGAACCCGGAACACCAACCTCCGAAGCCTTTTTGAGCCCCGTTTTTTGTCATTCCCAGAGTGGGACAACGGGATAGTTTTGCTTGCTTGAATCTTCTGATTTTTTTTTTTTTTAAGAATTATTGTATTTAACTTACTTTAATTTGACCAGAGAAAGAAAGCTACCAGGTCTGGGACTTGAACCACGGTCTGCCTCATGGGAGTCCAGCGCCCTTAACCACCACCTCACCTCTGAATCTTCTGATTTTTAACACAGGCCTCTTAAATGGTGCAAAGAAAAGAAAATGTGTGGTAATGTTAAGGTCATTTGCAAACCACCCTTGGCTCTCAGAGTCTCTTATTATCTTTTTCTCCATCTGATTCTCCTGTGGGGACTTTTGCCAAGGGCCAGTCCCAGCTGTGCCTCGTACAGCTTGGGCTGCCTTGGAGAATTCACGTCTCTGAGGCCTCCAAAACCCCCAAGGGACTGAGACAGGTGATCTCCCAGAGCCCTTCTAGCCCTAAAATTCTACGATTCTGTGCCTTTTGACAGAATGGAGTTTCGGTTTCCTGGAGGCCATCTGTGGAGTTTCCAGGGAACCTGTAAGTGTACGCCTTGTTTGGAGCTTGTCAGAGGTGCCGCACCCTTGCCCGTATCTCCAGGGTTTGCTTCCTAAAAAATTCCAATCAGCCCCAGCAGTGTGTGATCAACTCGCCAATTATCTCCCAGAAAGCCATTTCCTTCTCTTTTAACTAAATTATTTCCAGCCAACCTTATTCTTGCGAAGGCTTACCATCCATTTCTGCAGGCCCGAGGGGAGGTGGGCCGGTAGGCTGGTAAATTCAGCCCATTTTCTGCAAGTCTGTTCTAAAGAGCAGTGACGGACGTGGCCCGGTCCACCTTCTAGACCTCCCATGGGAGGCGGTCACGTCCGGACAACCTAATAGAATCCCCAAGTGAGCAAGTTTGATTGATGCCTTGGGGTCAAATTCCTTTTTGTGCTCCAGGTACCGAGGAGAAGGCGTGGTCTTGGGGACCCCGGAGGAAGTGTGGGAGTGTGTTAAGCCAGTGGCTGGGGGCCTCCGAGTGAAGTGGGATGAGAATGTGAACGGCTTTGAAGTGATCCAGAGCATCACTGATGTAAGTTTGTCCAAGCACGTTGTCCTTAGATAGTGTCTGGGTTCTGCTGCTGTAACCTGACCTCATTTCTCATGGAGGAGGATGGTGACTCCTCTTGGCAAGAGGGCTTGCCCACTGCTTGGCACACTCAGGCCCTGCCTTGGCCCAGGGACTTGGCTCAGAGAGGCAGAGAAGCTCTAAACAGGTCCAAAAGAATATGGCAGTAATTAATGCAGAAGTGCAGAGTGAACCTGGGCCCTGAGGGTACCGAGGCGGTTCCTGGATCTGGCTCATCCGAGCTAGGCTGAAATAGAGCTACCTGGTGGGGCCTTGATAATGAACAGAGAGAGGCCTGGCCAAGGGGTCGGGATCTCCGCCAGCTGTAGGGCTGCGCCAGGTGGAAATTTTCAAGGTGATTGGCAAACCACCCACGGTTTTGGAATCAGCCAGTTACGATCTCTGTTTTCATCACCTCCTCCACCGGGGCAGCGTGGCCCAGGGCTGGCCCCGGGCTGGCCCCAGCTGTGCTCATTCAGGTTGGACAGCCTTGGAGAATTGCAGCTCTTGAGGCCTCTGAAGCCCTCTTCTGTAGGGCAGGGGATGGAGCCAGGCGATCTCTCACAACCTGGAGATGAGTTTCTGCGTTGGTGAAGCGTGGATCATCGGAGCAGGGCTGTCCAGTAGACTCTGCCGTGTTCCTCGTGGAACTACGTTGTCCAGTGTGATAGGCACTAACCCTTCGTGACTGCAAAGCGTTGGAAGGTGACTACTGTAAGGAAACCAATTGATTGTTGCATTTCATTTATTTAGTTTTGGGCCCAGGAGATGGCGTAATGGTTACATCAGTGGTCTCCCACGTAGTCATTCGTGGCTCAAACCCCAGGCCTAGCAACTTAAAACTCATGCCAGGTGTGTGTGCGTCTGTGCCCAAGATCCCGAGAAGAGACTGGAGGAGAAGGGACTGTGGCATGGCCATCCCCCCAGGAGGTGATTTCTCACTCTCTGTCTCTCTGTCTCTCTCGCTAGTGTACATGTCCTATAGCAAAAATCTCTCCACCAAAAAAAAAAAAAAAAAAAAGAGAGAGCAAAAGACAGAGAATTTTTAAATTATGTATTCAATTTGGTGAGCCACTGTAGCAGTGTGAAGAAGATGGGAACTTAATCTGACTACAGGATTGAGAGGTGGAGCCTTTGCAAAATGATTAGGTCTGGATGAGGTTATGGTGTTTGGGACCCCACCCCAATACTGGTGTGTTTGCAAGGAGCAGGAACGAGACCAGCAGAGACCTGGACGCAGACACTCCCTGCTCTGTGCAAGTGCCCCCACAACCCCGCACCACAGAGTTGCCCACCACTGAGAAGACCCTCTGCAGGTGCAGCCCTCAGGACCGCCAAACCATCAATTGTATAAATTACCCAGATTCAGATATCTCCATTATTACTAACGGAATGGACAGGAACATCTACTTTCTGTCTTTAAATTGGCCTTTTCTAGCTATTTCATATAAACGAATTCAGACAATGTGTGATGCTTTCTGTCCGGCTCTCTTTTTGCTCGGTTCAATCTTAGCCTAATGTTTGAGGGTTACCCGCGTTGTAGCCCACGTCGTTCATCTGCTGCTTTGTCTACTCGGTGTGTGGATATACCACGTGTCGTGGCTTTTCCCCTCTTCTGCTGCTGTGAGTGCTGCTGTGAGGAGCAGTACCTCTGTGTGCACTTGGGCAAGTCCCAGGAGTGCAGTGGTCAGGCTGGATGGCAAACGTGCAAGCAGTGTTTTACAGAAACTGTCAAATCGTGTTCCGAAGGGACAGCGCCACCACCTTCTCAAGTCTGCGTTTTTGCAAAACCTCCTAGTACTTCCCGCGGATGCGATTCTCAGGCCACGGTGAAGGATCACTCGGTCCTTGCTCCGCTGGGCACATGTCTCCATGTTTCCTCTTCTGAAATGCCTTCATCTCTAGGAACTGAATACTGCTAATCTTTCAGTCCACTACCTCTAAGGAGATGCTTTGAAAAACCTCGCTTTTGTAGCTAGTAATCCATCAAGTACATATTAATTGCGCGTTAATTGCTTCTTCTTATTCATCTGTTTCACCAGCATTTCACACCGTGTCAGGCACATTGTAAACCTTCCCAGTTTAACCAGAGCATTCCGCCTTCCCGGCACCTTACCAGCCAGTGCCAGCCGGGCGAGGCTGCTCTCCTGACTGTGTGGGAAGGAGCAGGGCTCAGCTCGCCAGTGGGTTTAGGCCTCAACCTCCACAGTATCCTGATGGGTGGTAAGATGATATGTGGCTCTCAGAATAGCTTCACCCTTGAGCTTCTATTTCCGTTAGCTCCGTTGAGCAGAGGGATTTTATTTATTGGTTCTTTCTAAAAATCCAACAGGCAGATCTCAGGTGAAGTGTTAAAGCAAAAACGAATTTCTTAATTTAGGAAAGCATCTCCCCACACCCAGTCCCCCCCAAGGGGGGTTAGGCTGCAGGGACCATGTCTCCCCATGCTCAGAGCCTTCCCAAGGGTGGTTAGGCCGCAGGGACCATGTCACCCAGTGCTCAGAGCCCTCCCAAGGGTGATTAGGCCGCAGGGACTGTGTCTCCCCATGCCCAGGCCCTCCCTAGGGCAATTAGGCCGCAGGGACCTTGGAGAATTGCAGCTCTTGAGGCCTCTGAAGCCCTCTTCTGTAGGGCAGGGGATGGAGCCAGGCGATCTCTCACAACCTGGAGATGAGTTTCTGCGTTGGTGAAGCGTGGATCATCGGAGCAGGGCTGTCCAGTAGACTCTGGCGGGGTTCGCGTGGAACTACGTTGTCCAGTGTGATAGGCACTAACCCTTCGTGACTGCAAAGCGTTGGAAGGTGACTACTGTAAGGAAACCAATTGATTGTTGCATTTCATTTATTTAGTTTTGGGCCCAGGAGATGGCGTAATGGTTACATCAGTGGTCTCCCACGTAGTCATTCGTGGCTCAAACCCCAGGCCTAGCAACTTAAAACTCATGCCAGGTGTGTGTGCGTCTGTGCCCAAGATCCCGAGAAGAGACTGGAGGAGAAGGGACTGTGGCATGGCCATCCCCCCAGGAGGTGATTTCTCACTCTCTGTCTCTCTGTCTCTCTCGCTAGTGTACATGTCCTATAGCAAAAATCTCTCCAAAAAAAAAAAAAAAAGGATTATTTAAGTTTATTAATTATTACTAATTTGCTACACAGCACACACACAAGACAGAGCGGGAGGGAGGGAAAGTGAGAAAGCAAACCTCCAAGTCCATGATCAAACCGCCATCAGCCATGTGGGAGTCCAGAGCCTTCACCACCACACCACCTGCTGGCACCCATTGTATTTTAATCTAAGTGTAAGTTTTCTTTATTTTTTAAAAATAACTTATTTGCAATTCGCTATAGGGCATGTGTGCTCACAATAGAAAGAGGAGGGAGAAAGCCGCTAAGTCTGGGACTTGAACCGTGGTCGGCCATGTGGGAGTCCAGCACCTTAACCACCACGCCTCCTGCTGGCCTCGAAATGTAAATGTAACAGCCACGGGGAGCTAGCAGCTCCCGGATTAGGGCATATTAGGATAAGCCTGCCCTGGGCTCCTCTGTAGCTTGAAGATCCCACCTTTTGATTACAGAAGTTCAGAGAAAAAGTCACAGCTAAAACTACCCAGCAAGCTGGCCTCCGGGACGCAGTACTGACCTGTTCGGGATGAATGGTGTCTGGCTTTTGCCACCTGTGTGGACTGGTACCCTCTTGGGTGCTTGGACACAGTGGGGGACCTGCAGGAGCCAGGTGTCCATTCCCAGGTCACTGTCACAGGAGTTAACGTCAGCGTTAACCCACATCCCGGGGTGCAAGAGGTGAGTTTAGGTGCCGACCAAAGCTGAGGTTGAATGCCAGAGTGAGGAGGGTACCCTGTTGTGCTCTTCAGTCTCTCTGATGATTTGAAGGGGGACTGTCAGGTGCCCGTGGGCCTCTCTAACACTTGCCAGTCTCCCATATAACACAGTGGGCAGCTGCCCACCACTGGAAGCTGATAGTGTAGGTGGTGGGTGGTCGGGAGAATTTTTCCAAGTTTTTCTCTATGCAAAAATGCGTCATAACTTTTCCAGTGACCCAATATTTTGCAGTTGCCTTCAATTGATGACGAATGATACTTTTTTTTTTTTTCTATTTCCCATAGTTAACGTAGCTTGCTTTTAAAACCCAGCTTATCTGAAGAGTGAGCACATTTAGAGAGTGATATCAAGGGAATAATAGGTTAGGTGATAAGTGAGATAGATTTTAAAAAGCAAAAAATTAGCAAAAATGATAGAAGCAGATAATTAGACAGCAGTGATAAAGTCGAGAGTATGGATTAGTAATGCCCTTTAAAGACCTGATACAAAATGAACAACCCCAAGGACCGTCTGCAGGGGTTTCTTTTCGAAGGTGAAAGTGGCTACAACTTTGCCATTCTGCGCTACTTTGTCTTGACACAGTGACTGGTAGGATAAGAGAGAATGGAAGGCCTAGAAAATCGTAGGTTAATACCTGGCCTCCAGTCCCCCAGGTGGCATGGAGAGTAAGGCACTGGTTCCCACATGGCTGACTGTGCGGTTCGAGTCCCAGGCCCAGCAGCTTGAAACTCACGCTGTGTGTGAGTGTCCACAATCCCAAGAAGGGAATGGAGGAGAAGTGATTGTGGTGTGGCCATCCCCCTCCAGGGGTGATTTCTCTCTTTCCTTCTCTCTGTCCCTCTCCAAAAAGTGCATGCACCCTATAGCAGAAACAACTGGGAACCACACACACACACCCCTGAACCACCTCCCGAGGAGCCAGGGAGCCCTTTCTTGCCTCTCTGCCCTCTCTCCACCTCAGTTCTGGGTCCCAGGGACCTGATTTCTCCTGGCTGCAGAGTGGTATGTCTCTTACTTAGACCCCCCTGGCCTTCCCCAGGCTGCCAGGACCCGGGTGGCTGGGCGTTCACCTGTGCAGGGTTTCACTTCAGTGCTGGTGGCTCTTGCCTTCTTGGTCAGCTTGCCGCG